CCCCCTCAGGGCAGCTCCACCAGGGGACAGAGCCACCAGCCCCCCCAAGAAGGGAACGGTGGTGCCGGTGACCCCGCACATCGAGGACCGTGGGGACAAATCGTGGCCACCACAAATCCCCACCGCTCCCCCCCTCCAGGGCATCCCCCCCCAGGGCACCCCCGGGCACCCCTGCTGACTGGCACCTGGGCTTAGCGGGGCCTGAGGACCCGGATTTCACTGGAAAAACAACCTGTTTCTAACCTGCAGGCGTGAAGAAAAGGGCACAGCATATCCCAAGAGCCTCCCAAAGGCCCCGGTGTTGGAAAGGCAACAAAACCTTCTGCTTTAAATATGATTTATAGGCATTTTTAGAGCGTGATTTGTATCTACCTGCCCGTATTGCACACGCGATCGTTATGCTAATGGCTGGTTTGGGTGACACCAGTTACTCATGACTCGTTCATGGTAATTAACTGGCAGTACCGGATATTTCCCACAACAAAACTTAACTTGGCATCCGTGGCAGCAGCGGGTGCCCCGTGCTGATGGCTCACGTCCGCATGCCTGATGTGGGGCTAACCCGAGGGACGCAGGGGTCCTGGGCAGGTTTGGGGGTGCAGGGGTAGCCATCCCTTGGGAGGTACAGGTTTGGTGCCAGGAAGGCGAAGGCTCTGCCCGTCAGCAGGGTGTCTTCCCCTCGGGCAGGGGGGTCTGGCACTTCCCACCTCAATCACAGCCTTTCGCTCACTCCTGGCTGGGTTTGGAGAAGGATTCATTCAGCCTTGTGCTTTCATCCCAGCATCTCCCTCTTGGGCATCCTCAGAGAGTGCCCCCCAGGACACGCTGCCGCCCCCTCCCCTGCCACAAGCCAGCTCCACACATGGGGGATGAGGGGAAGTCACTGTGGGGGGGACAACCCATGGTGGAAGCAAAAGCCACTCTGCCCGTCTGGCTGTCCCCCAGCCAGCACAGCAAAAACCTCCCGGCATCTGCACAGCAGCACCTCTCCTTCCCTTCAGCCTGGGCTTATTGGCATCCCCAGCGCAGAGCCCTCGCTGTGGATGGATGGGTGTGTGCCTATACATACACACACACACATATCTATATATACGTACCCATAGAGGCCCTAAGCAGTTGTGCTGATTTGCATAAATATTCTATTATCTGCTCAGCTCCTTCAGCTGGTTTGGTGATAATACTAACACACGTAAAGTTACTTTCTACTTCCCGATAACAACTGTAATGCCATATCATCACTGACTTCATTTATGAGCTGCAAGGGTAAAATAAATGTTTATGTTAATTACTTTAACTGGTGAGTAATTTTCTGACTTTTGAATGCTTCAGGTTTTTAATGCTATTGCAATTATGCCATGCACCTAAGTTGTATCAATTACATCAAATAAATCTAAATTAAGCAGGCGTATGTGCGAATTCACCAGTTTAGAAAAATAACTTCATGAATAAGCATGGAGCAAAACTTCAGATGGGGTTTTGTGCCAACCCACATTAAGCTCCCCCACCCTCTGAGCCGCAGGGCTGGTTTTTGGCAGCCCCAGCACACCAGGGACAGCATCCCCAGGGATTCAGGGCTGGATGCCCGCCGGTGGCCAAGCTCTGTTTCCTTTGGCTGTGATGCTCAAGGGCGTGCTGTAAATCCCATGGGACGCCCACTCCTTCCCGGGCGAGCTGGGGGGGCTTCAGGCAGTGGGACAGCACAGGAGCCCGTGCGGGCAGCTGGTACCCTGCTCGTGCGCCCATCTCCCCATCCGCTCCAGGAGAATCTCAGCCTGGTCCCTCAGTGATGCTCTGGCTCTCCTTTTCTTGGATGTCACGTCTCTGTGACCTGAGCAAGCACTAGCTGACGACATCGCCGAAGGTATTTTTAGAAAGGCTGCTTTGCAGGCAGGCAGAGAGAAGGCAGTGGCCCGCAGGGCTCGGCGCCAGCAGCACCCTCCTGCCAGAGCCCAGCAGGTAGCAGGGAGGCTCCATGTGTTGGTGGCCACTGGTGCTAGAAGACAACTACCCTCCGCGGGTGGCACCGGTGGCACCAGCCCCCCACGGGGCACACTGACCCGGTGTGGGTTTAGCTCTTTGCTTTTAAGCCAGCCTTTCCTGCAGCCAAAAAAGCATCACTGCTGTGACACTGTTAAATCAGGCAGGTTAATTCGCCTTTTACTTGGGTGAAGGGAAGCTCCAGTAATCGAAACACATCGCTGAGTGGGGCCTTTCGCATTAGGCATTTGTTCTGCCTCGAGCAAATATTTAACCACATAGACAGCTAAAAAATCCCCCGATTCCCAGCAAAATTCTAACTCCCCCTCCTCTCCCTTTGAGCAACCCAATAACCTAGTCCAGCAATGCAGGCAGGAGCATACCTGGAGCCTCTTGTATACTGGGATGCTTCCTGTAAAAAATTCCCACCAGAAGCACCAGACATTGTGAGAACGTGTCCCCAGAGCACAATTAATTATAACCCAGCTCATTATTCTAATTTTGCTCCTCCTTGAGGAGGTGAGGGGATTTTTTAGCATTGCTGAGGCACCCTTTGCCAAGCTGACATGAAACGCTTACCAAAGCAGGAACAAACCCCCTACGTTCCGACATCGTCATTTCACACAAGGATTGGGGTTTTAATTAAGTCTTAGCATGCTCCTGAGAAATTTAATACTCATTTTAAAGTTCAACAGCTGAATTAATTCAACCCGGAGGCTCAGATCCTCAAGATAGGGTTGCATTGAGCTGGGTGGGGAGCGAGAGCTGGGGAGGGGTGTTGAGGATCGCTACTGAAATCCAGTGTGTTGGGATCCCACCAGCCTTGGCAGCAGCTTCGGGTGGTGGCGGGGGGGCTCGTCACTGCTTCGGTCAGCCCCCCCGGCCAAACCCCCCGGCCAGGTCTGGGCTGCTGGGGCAGGAGGGAGAAGCCCAGGACAGCGTGGAGCCGGTCCAAAGCCGAGGAGACAGCCAGTCCAGCTGGGAGCTGCTGCACGCCACAGCTCAGCTCTGCCTGGGTCCGTCCCTGCCCCCTCCCCAAATCTCCTTTAGATTAAGCAAATGACAAAAGCAACATCTTTTTCAACCTATTGCATTCTGAGAGAGAAAAATCCCTACTCTGCAAGATGTATCAGCCATCAGCCAGAGGGCTCTTTCCTCCACTCTGAATTTCCCGCCCCGGACTGCATTGCAGAGCCATCTAACCAAAACCTCAGCCTCCATGTCTCCCTTTTACCTACCTTTTCTCTTTGCCATATTTTTCAGCTGGCTTCAGGTACGACTTGGGTTTGGTTTTAATGCTGGTGCTCTCCCCCAGGCAAAGCACGGCTGGGCTCATCCTGCCCCACGCCAGGATCAAGCTGCTCTGCAGGACTGCAGCTCACCTGCTCAGTCATTAATGTTTCACGGCATTAACCAATACGGCTCCTGCTTCTAAAGCACTTCTTAGAAACAAGGCTAAAAATATGCACGAGGTGTCCCAGCTGAGGCTAAAACTGCTGGTTTGAGCGGACACAGCAAGGGAGGCAGCTTGATACCAAGTCAATTCCATCCAGTACATTTTATTATGAGGAAGAGGAGGCTGAGGAGAGACCTCATCACTGTCTACAACTACTTGAAAGGACACTGTAGAGAGGTTGGGGCTAGCCTCTTCTCACAGGTAATTAAGGACAGAACGAGAGGGAACGGCTTCAAGCTCCAACAGGGGAGGTTTAGACTGAACATTAGGAAGGAATTTTTCACAGAAAGAGTGGTCGGGCATTGGAACAGGCTGCCCAGGGAGGTGGTTGAGTCACCATCCCTGGATGTGTTTAAGGGACATTTAGATGGGGTACTGAGGGATATGGTGTAGGGGAGGACTATGTAGAGTAGGGTAG